CCCCCAGTGACCTCACACTGCTGCAGGTACCGCCCCATCCCATCCCCCACCCCCAGTGACCTCACACTGCTGCAGGTACCGCCCCATCCCATCCCCCACCCCCAGTGACCTCACACTGCTGCAGGTACCGCCCCATCCCATCCCCCACCCCCAGTGACCTCACACTGCTGCAGGTACCGCCCCATCCCATCCCCCACCCCCAGTGACCTCACACTGCTGCAGGTACCGCCCCATCCCATTGCCCCGCCCCCAGTGACCTCACACTGCTGCAGGTACCGCCCCATCCCATCCCCCACCCCCAGTGACCTCACACTGCCGCAGGTACCGCCCCATCCCATCCCCCACCCCCAGTGACCTCACACTGCTGCACATACCACACCATCCGTATGCTGCCTTTCCCAAGGGGTTTCGGGTGCTGCTGGGGATGGTGTACATTCCTTTCCCCGTCAGTGCAACCATTCTCTTGTTCTTCCTCACTGCTGTGTCCCAGCTGGCTCGTCCTGCAAAGCTGAATGAACATGTGAAAACCATCCCCATGGCCGGTCCCTTTGAGAATTTACCGCGTGGTACCAATTGCAGTATTGCTGGATGGGGATGCACCGTTCCAGGGGACAACTCCTCTGTGGTGAGCAGGCTCCGGGAGGTGGATGTGGAGGTGCTGGATGATGATAAATGCACGTCTGCATTCTACTTCCCCATGTTAATGCTGTGTGCGGGCCGTCCACAGGAAGGCAAGGATGCAGGACAGGTACCTCTGCTCTTCGCAAATCCTTCTTATGCACGAGTGTGTCCATATTTGTGCCGTTACGGTGAGAAATCATGGTTGGGGGGAGGAGAGTGCCGTGTCACCGGGCATTCATCGGGGGGCAGGGGGCCGATTCACTGAGCTCTGCTCCATCGGTGGCATGTTTTGTTCTGCAGGGTGACTCCGGCGGCCCCCTCGTGTGTAAGGATAAAGTTCAGGGGGTTGTCTCTAAGGGATCTACGTCTGGGACCCTCCCCGGCACGTATACCAGTGTCTCCTTCTACAGCGACTGGATCAAGGACACCATGAGGAGAGCGTAGCTTTGAGCCTGCCAGGACCCACTGCCTAGACCAGCCCTGCACCGCTTCAGCCCTTTGGAGAGGCCCAGACGTAGGGCCTGCTTTGCAGTGGGGCTGAGTCCCCACACTCCCTCTTGAGTCTCCTATCCCACCCTTCAAGATAGAGTCCCCTCCCCCAGCTCCAAGGCAGGAGAGTTAGGAGCCAGGTTCAGGGCTGGCTGCTTCTTTGGTTGGGAACACCTGGGTCATGTCAGTTAGAAGCCAAAGCTTGAGGTGGACCCATTGGGTTATTGCTCTCCCCAGGGTGGGCCCATCGAGTGCCAGCTTGGGGGAGATCCTCCCCATAACGTCCACCTGCACGTTCCTGCTGGATCTGACCCCGACCTCTCTGGGCCTTCCCCACGTGCTGGTCCTCTAGAGTATCCACCGCCCAGATTAAATATCTGAACCTCTACTGCGTAGCGCGCATGCCCTACTGGGATTCTCTGCCTGCTCCGTAGCCAACAACTAATAAAGATACACACGCAAAAAGTCTCGCTTCCTGATGCATCAGCCCAGAGCTTTGCCATCCAGAGCAGCTGCTGTCCACTGTAGCTTGATCTAAATATGTCTCTCACCAAGGAAGGAGAGCGCCAAGGAGGGAGGGGAGGAAGGAAGGCGAAGGGAGAAGGTTCATACCTTTCCCACCCCCACACATACACTAGACATGGGGGCTGACTGGCATGATTTTCCGGAAATGCTTTTAACGGAAGAGTTTTCCGTTAAAAGCGTTTTCCGAAAAGCACGTCTAGATTGGCAGGACGCTTTTCCGCAAAAGCACGTTTCGCGGAAAAGCGTCCGTGGCCAATCTAGACGCGGTTTTCCGCAAAAATGCCCCGATCACCATTTTCGCCATTGGGGCTTTTTTGCAGAAAAAACGACTGTGCTGTCTACACTGGCCCTTTCGCGCAAAAGTTTTTCGGAAAAAGACTTCTGCCCAAACGGGAGCAGCATCGTATTTCCGCAAAAGCACTGACAATCTTACATGAGAGCGTCAGTGTTCTTGTGGAAATTCATCCGCCAGTGTAGACAGCTGGCATGTTTTTCCGCAAAATCATCTGATTTTGCAGAAAAACTTGCCAGTCTAGACACAGCCAGGGTGGGAAAGGCAGTGGAGTGGGAGGGAGAGCAGGCAGTGAGGAAGGACCTGCTCAAGGAAGGGGGGGGTAGCTAGATGCTGGGGGAGGACCCAGCAGAGTGGCAGGACCCAGCAGAGCAAAGGGAGGCAAACAGTGGGGCCAAGAATGGAAAAGGTCACTGCAGCAGCTGAGGCTGGGGAGGAACAGCAGCCGTGATGGTGACCGTAGCAATCACAGCACCCCACATACTGGGCCCTCTGTGTTCGGACGCTAAAAGCTGGTGTGGTGCCATGACTCTCCCTCGGCACCCGGAACGGTGGGAAAGCTTTGTTGTCTCTCTCTGTTATTTGTGGACGTAGTACTAACCTTTAAGGCTAACCCCGGGCCATAGCACTTCCCCATTCCTCCAAGCTGTTTCCAGGCATGGTGTTCGGTCGTACTGGGGCAGGTGCCAGAAACCCCTGTGAGCGGGAGGATTTTGGTCCAGCATCTCGCAACCAAATAAGGAGGAGGAGGGATAAATGCGAGCAGGCAAACTCTTGATTCATTGACCCGCCGAAGAAAATAGTGTGAGCAGGCGAACTCTCGGCTTGGTGTCTTACAGAGACTTTCAAAACGCGCGCGGAAAATTCCGTCTACAAGAATTCCAGTGCCCTGGTCTTCCCTAGTATAGGAGCCTCATGAAGTCTGATATTAAGTGATGGGTGTCTTAGGGCAGCACCACTTAATAGAAACCCCTGGGAACTGGACAATAAAGAAAGATGCATCTAAAGGTGGAAACTGTAGAAAAAAAGTGTGTGTGGAAAAGGAGTATGAATGTAATGAGTGACGTATGAATGCTGCTGCATAGCTCTGAGACTTGAGCTGATCCCAGCTGGACCAGGGCTCTCCCACGAGGGAGATCTGAATGAAAATGGGGGGGGGGGGTCAGCTGAACCTCGCAACTCAGCGGATATGTGAGGGAGTGACGACTCCCCTTATTTCACGAGCTGCTAAGGTCTGACACTCTAAACCCGGCAGACTCAAAAATCCGCCCTACCGCGAGAAATGTAACTTACAAGCAGCTACAGCACCTCTGTGCCAAAACAAAGCACAAGAAGTGGGCGAAGAAAAAGAAAAAAAAAAAAGGATTTCTCAGTTGGCACACCCGTATCAACCAAGCTTAGGGGAGGGAATTCGACAACATCACCCCTCTTCCCCTCTTTAGGACGCATACACAGAGAGAGGAAACACGGAAAGTAACTGAAAGGAATTAGCTCTTCCCTTGGAAAACACGGGCTCCTGTAACACACTTGCCCAACCCAAAGCAAAACACCAAGTTTAGAATAAGTTTACCAGTTTACGGGAAGTGTTCCTCCAAATTCTAAAGAAAAGCAATTATGCAATATTGTAATGTGTAAGGAGGAAAACAGGATTTCAAATGACTCCTTGTTTCTTGCAGCCTCCTTTAATCATCTAGGCAAACGAAACCCCCCACACAATCCAATTTAAACATTTGGCTACAGACTGTTAAACCTACTAAAGAGAAATAAGAACTTCTACTGAAACTTAAGTGGTTAACTGCATAAAAGAATAAAATGGATACATTGCACATTTGTAAAAGCTGCACCCCAAGAGTTAAATTTGCCTTCCAAGGAAAAAATCCAAGCCCAGAAACTTCACT